TGGAATTGTCGTGCCTTTAAGTCAAATGTATTTGACTTTTCTCTCTCTCTCTCCCGAGTGAGGAGAAAGGATTAATGACTCCAGCTGATGTTCTGGAGCTTTCATTGAATGGTCCAGAAACGCAAGAAGAATTGAGGCTAAAAGCTCATTTTGCCTTAGTTGGAAATCTCTGGGTTGAGCTCGAGGAATTTCTTTTTGAAGAAACTCAGTTCCATTTTTAAGTTGAAGTGCATTTCCCTCACTGTCATTTTGGTAACCTGTTGAATGTGTCTTAGGACCCTCAGTTTTGTGCGTCTAAGGATAGGTATCCGTTATCAGGGTCTGACGAGGCACTTCAAGAAAATCCATGCTAATAATTTAACATGGGGAAGATTATCCTCTCAATGTTCAATATTCTCTTCTTTTACTTGCCCCCACTCTAAGAGTCCCATTGCAGAGCGCATAATAATAATCCTTGCATTTGATTTAATGCCTTATGAAGTCGTTAAGACACCTCAAAGCACTTTACGGAATATACTGTGAAGTGAATTGCCTATATTTTGTGGGTGAAAATATGAGAATGGGTCGCAACATCTTGTAGCAATCCTTCACAAGATCAAAATACAGTATTAATCAGGTCGAGATGGGGAATTGCTGAATGGAGATTAACAACAACAACAAGATTCCATTTAGAGAGCGCCTTTCACGTCGGGAGGACGTCCCAAGGCGCTGTACAGTTGGGTCAGGACCCGAGCAGTGGGGAAATGGTCAGGGTGAGGGGAGGGAAGGGAGGGAGTGAGGAGGGGGTAGAGAGTCGAGAGGGGAGCTGAAGGCACGGTCAACGAGAAAGGTCTTGAGACCGGCCTTGAAGGAGGAAAGGGAGGAGGCGGCGAAGGCACTGGGGATAGAGTTCCAGAGCCTCGGGGCTGAGAGACTGAAGGCCCGGCCACCGATGGTAGGGCGGTTAACTACTTTGGAGTGTGTGGATGGGGGGCGGCGGGAGGGGAAGCTGCTGTGAGGAGAATCTATTTACCAAAAAGTAGAAGCCCGGTTGTTAGTCGATTGGCTGATCACTTTTCCGGGTGCAATAATCCATTCAAAAAGAAGAACCTTTGGTCACTCAATCTACAACTATATATGGGACACTGTTGTGCGCAATTGGCTGCCAGGTTTCGCTCACAAAATATACAGTATATTCTGTGAAGCACTTTGAGAGGTGATAAGGCACTATATCAAATGCAAGGAATGTTGTTATCATTTTCCTCACTTTTTTTGCACATCTCCGAGCATCTGCTTCAGAGTGATATTGGCTTAAGATGTTTTTGCTCATTAGCCTCTGGGATGTGTGTGTGTGTGGCTAATGATAGTTAGTTCTAATATGGACTGCTGTATTTAGGGAAATAGTAAGAATAAATTGCACCATCCATCTGTGGTTCTGCCTGACTCAAATCAAGAAAATCTAAGTGTGACCAGTAATTTTTTGGGCAATTAGCAGGAAAGCTCCCTGGGCAAGGGAAATTGTAGTTTATCTAAAAATATTGTAGAAGAAACTCTAGATAGGTTTTCACTCGATTAACATTTTCAACACTTGATCTAATTAATGGTGAAACTGGCCCCTTCTGAAACACATTGCCATCTCTGTGCAATTAACTAGCCCTCGAAGAACGAGCCCTCAAACTGAAGTGGGTTTGTTGAAGTGTGCGCTTGTGCTAATCTGCCTCACTTAATAATTGAATCTCTGACGAGGGTGAAGTACTTGGAAGAGGTCTGCTTTGTTGAGTGATGGACAGCATCAGATCTCAGCCGCGCTGTTAGTTAGACGAGGCATCCCACTGTGACGAAACATAACTCTTCATCCATCTCGCCCCACTGAGGCAAGCCGGCAGCCGGAACCACAATAAAGCACCTATCACGCTGAGAGCTGTCAGAATTTCTGCGCCGTTCTCACCTGCTCCACTTGGCAGTAGGATACAGTGGAGGAGATGTTGGAGAATTTAATCTGGCATGATTTCAGGAGGAAAAAGGAGCAGCAAATTAAAGTCCCAGCAAGCCTTTTGTTAAAAACAATATTCTCTTGAGGCAGCAGAAATTGTAATTGTGCAGCATAGGTGCCCAATTTGAGATTTCCTGATGTACTTTTGTTTCTCGCACGCACTTCCAATAAGTGTGTGAGAAACTCATTTAGACAACTGGCACCAATTGTGGAACTGAACCAGGACCCGACTGAAATGGGAACCCTACTAGAAATGAAACCGTCACACACCTCTTTTGGAATAGAAGATGGGGAAGGAAGCTAAAAGACTTTTTTTTTTAAAAAAAAGGTGTTTCAGTCCTTTAATAGTTATTATTAATAATCCTAACTGGAGTCCCGTAGTATACTGGTTAGCGCACTCGCCTCGGAAGAGAGATGGCCCGGGTTCGATTAAAAAAACTACTTGGATTTTTTATATAGCGCCTTATCACGTCTTCAAGACATCTCAAAGAGCTTTACAGAATATACTTTAAAATGAATTGACTTCTGCAAAGTGAAGTTTCCCTACTCCACACACCTCTGTTCACCTAGCAGCAAATAGGAACCCGGTTGTTAGTCGATTGGTGGATTGCTTTCTGGAATTAATACTCCCTCCCAAAAAAATAATAATAATCTGTGTCTGTGGAACACTGCTGTGCGCAATTGGCTGCCGCGGTTCTCCCACAAAATACACAGTCAATCCAGTTTACAATATATTCTGTGAAGCTCTTTGACACATCTCAATGTCGTGATAAGGCGCTATTTCAAATGCAAGGATTATTATTTGAAGACTCGGGTGCCGGCAGCTTCTTTTGGTGATTTGTAGCCTGCTGTGAAACAAAAGGCTTGACGTTTTCAAAGTATTGTCATCAGACGTTGCCTCAATCCATTGTTCCGGGACTCTACCCCGTGTGAAGGGCACTGTATAAATGCAAGTTGTTACTGTGAGTGTGCAAGTGCTGTAGTTCTGTCTGTCTGTCTGTCTGGCATCCTGGTGTCGCATGCGTTGCTCCTGGTTAAAAACTCTGTTTGGGACGGATGCCTGGGGGGGGAGGGGATCGCTCCAGTTCTGAGTTTTGTCTGCTTTCTCTAGCGTGGGGAGAGGTCAGACTGCACTCTGGTTCAGAGCCAACAGAATGGATTGTGTAATTGAGACCGGTGGAAGAAATGTGAATACCTCCTCCCTTGGAGAACAAATTAGATTGCAAACGAGCTTAGTCCCATTATTGTGGTTAGAAAAAAAGCCCGAAAGCTAGTTAGTTCTAAGTTGGACGATTGTATGTCGTGTCAAACCTTTAAAAGAGTGGGGAAAAAAGAAAGAACCTTGGCGAGCAATGCAGTAGAGGGAAAGAAGTTTATTGGGTGCAGTAATATGTGTGAAATTTCAGTTCTAAATCATATTGTGCAATCATTGGCAACGAGAATACGATTAACTATTGCCACATGCAAATTATATTTTGTATTATTTAAAAGGCCACTTTTGTGGTTGACGGATTTGACAAGTTTCTTATCCTAGTTGGAAATGGTATAACCACAAAGGGATGAGTGCCATACATTATAAATGAAATGGATTGTACTTACATGAGGGAAGGTAACGAAATGATAAATAAATAATGCAAGGCCAGTTTGCTTCGCTCCCTATCTTCTGTAGTTTATTTTTAATGCGCACCACAGAAACGCAACAAATGGAATAATGCATACAAACCAGGAATCTTTTTGCAACTGAAATTCTGGTTAACGATTCACTTAATTGAAAAGGCTTCAACAAAGAGACACTGTTTACGGCTGCAGTGCCCTGTAATTGCATTCAATTTCTATCCAAAGTTGACTTTGGGCATAGTGCTGAACAGCAGTTGATTTGGGGGAACTTTTTGTTTTTTGTGCACTGATCCTGCAAAACTGCATCGGAGACTGAAATCAGAAAAAAAAAACCTCCCGGGTTTCTGCCAGTCAGACAGCCAGACTAGCGAGGATTTGAAGAGCAGAGATTGTGTTGATAAACACCGTTTTCATGGGAACAATTTGAATTCTGTATGCATAAACATGAGAAATGCTCAATATTACAACTCCAAACAAGTGACCCTAGGCAGAGCTGGTATTCGATGCATTAGTCCTGTAGCTCAGTGCTCAGAGCACTTGCCTCGCAAGTGAGAGACCTGGATTCGATTTCCAGCATGGTGAAACGTTGAGCGAGTTTCTTTGCTCCACACGCCTCTCTTTACCTACCCGGTTGTTAGTCGATTGGCAGGTCGCTTTTCCAGTGGTAATAATTCCTTAAAAGAAAATAGTTTGCTCACTTCAATTCACGATTCTTTGTGGGGACTCTGCTGTGCACAATTGGCTGCCGCGTTTCGCCCATAAAATCTACAGTCAATTCACTTTACAGCATATCCTGTGAAACGCTTTGAGACGTCTTGAAGACGTGATAAGGCGCTGTATCAAATGCAAAGATTATTATCATTATTATTATTGACTTGTCGCCTACCAAAGCATTGGGCGCCCATAGAATGAACCGACTTATTCAGATATTTGTGAGCGTGCGAAACGTGTTGTGCTGTCTGTCTGCTTTGCGTAAGGAACCACGCCAGATTCTGAAATACAGTGCTGTGGATTCCAAACTTCTTTCACAGCAGATGGTTGTCTGCATGCCCTGAAGTATTTATTCAACCTATTGAACTCGGAATGAAAAGGAGATTAAATCCACTGAAACAACGGTGCATAGAATCGTTGTGTGAGAGATCTGTTCCCCAAGGCTTTTTTGGGGTAGGGTAATTTTTCAGATTTTTGGAAATTGTGTGATTTTGTGGGTGGGCGTGGGGCGGTTTACACTTGGTCTCTGATCGTTGCTTTACAGCTTGTGTTGACAGGCCTGTGTGTGTGTGTGTGTGTGTGTGTTTTAAAGGATTATTGTATTGAAGGCAACATTCCAAACCAAAACACAAAAACAAGAGGATTTCTTTTAATTTTTCTCTCACAACTGAACTGAATTTTATGATGTGATTTCATGCAGGATTTTGTGGAGTTTCTTTTAACGTCCACCCGGAATAATTATGATCACCCCGGCCTTTGAATTAAGCCAAGACCCTGATTTCCTCACCATCAGCATCCGCGTCCCATACGCAAGAGTTGCAGAAGTTGACCTATACATTGACGGAGAAGACTTCAAATTTTATGCCAAGCCATACTTCCTGAGGCAAGTTTATGATAATCCTTGTGTTTGATACAGCCTTATTTATGTCTCAGAGCCCTTTACAGGATATACTGTGAAGTATTTATCGTGTAGGCAAACTTGGCAGCCAAATCTGAGCACAGCGACGTCCCACAAACAGCCATGAAATAAATGACTAATTTTATTTTGGGGGATGTTGGCCAGGACAACGGGACCTCCAACAAAGCAGCTTCCCTCCCACCCCCACATTACAATGAAGTGTCAGCCTAAACGGCGAGTTTAAACTCCCCATGCGGGGCTTGGCTTGAACTCACAAGCTTCAGACTCGAGAGGCAAGAGTGCTCGCAACTGAGCCAGGCTGACAGCGGTGGGACTTGTGTTTTATATCTTGCACGGCCCAGTTCTTCCATTAACTTTTATTATGGTATATTGCACGAGCAAACTTGCTTGTCAGTGACAGCGCCCTAATGAGGTAAAGCAGTGTTTTTAAAACGATGACATCTGCAACATCTGTTCTCACTTTCTGAAAGCAGATTGACTCTTCCAGGGAAGATTGTGGAAGATGGCAGAGAAAAGGCTTTGTACGATTCTGATAAAGGTATGAATGCAAAAGAGATCGGGTTCGGTGTTGGCTTTAATTAAATAAATAAATCTTGCACTTGGTATAGTGACTTTCACGTCAGGAGGACGACTCAAAGCGCTTCACTGGATTTTTCTGTAAATGACTGTGTATTTGTAGGGCAACACAGCAACCAGTCCACACATAGCAGTGTCCCACAAATAGCTATGAAGTGAGTGAGCAATTTTATCTGGGGAATTGTAGGCCAGGACACCGGGATTGAGAAAAACTCACTTCTGTTATTGAGCAATGCCATAGATAAAGGATGGCACCTCCCAACAATGCAAAGATCCCCCAGCACTGCCTTGGACTGTCAGCCTAGACTATGCGAGTTAAAATTCCCAACTGCAGACTGCATTTTATGCAGGCAGTCGAGCCCTCTTCATTTGCCCTTTTTAAATCACTCCCAAGACGCCATCCAGTGTGAAGACGCTATTATAAATGCAAGTTGTTGTAGTAGGCAGTACTTGTATATGCATTGATGAAGATGTAACAGGTCAAGAGAGCAGCTGATACCCAAGGAATAATAATCGAGCAACATAATATTAACCAAGCCTAGACATGCACAGATTGTTTGATTAAAATTCACTCCTCCCAAAAATAATTCTTCGTTTTTCTCTCTGAAAAAAAGAAAAACTTAAGAAACAAAGACTTGGTGTAGCACAACTCAAACTGCAGGGACACATTGTGCTATCAGGCAATGTTATGAATTGTCCACATTACGTTCATTTGTGTGTGTCTTTTTTTCCCCATTGCAGGAAATTTTACTGTAAAGGTTCCTAAAGTCGTTGCGGGAGAATATTTTGAGGGGTTGGATATGTTGACTGCATTGTTGGCGCCAAAAGGGTCAAGATCTGCCAAACCGTTGGTGGAAGAGCTGGGTATGTTTTGTAGCACCCCATTGTTTTGCTTTCATAATCGAAACTTTAACTTGCTATCAGATAACCAGCCTGAATGTATTGACTCAATAAACGTAAGCCGTTTTTAGCTCGGAGTATCTCTGAACAACTCTTGAGAAACATGTGAATTTCTGCACAAAAAAGAAGTCAACCTGTGTGGGGGGGTTGGTTTTTTGCAGGAGGCACTGCCGATCATGATGTTGAAGAGGACGAGGATGAATTTGACTGGGAAATTGAGCAAAGTCCGTTCGTGGACTTGGAAGAAAACATTGCTAGTTCAGGCTGTCCTTATGGCTTTGGAAACCTGCGATGGGGGGTTTTCAAGAGGCTGCAGGTGAATTCTAAATGTGATGATAATAATATTCCTTGCATTTGATATAGCGCCTTATCACGTCTCAAAGCGCTTCACAGAATATGCTGTAAAGTGGAGTGACTGTGTTTTGTGGCTGAAACGCACCAGCCAATTTGGCACACAGCAATTGATGATGAATGAGATGTTCAGTAACTAGGTCAGGCTTCGATTCAGTTTGCAACAGCATTCTGCAGGTACAGATTACGGTGTTGAGATCAGAAGTGGAGATTATTTTCCTTTAACGGTGTTGCAGTATCTAGGACAAAACATCAGGGGGAGCTCGCATGCAATTTCAAATGATGTTGCATTGGTTTGTGTTTCTCTTATGTTTATTGCTGCTCGTTTTTTAAAAAAACATTTTCTTTTCCACCCGCCCTTCGTGGAGACGGCAACATTTGCCAATCACGGATGCAATCATGACCCTGTTCAAGTGTGAGCCCAACCAGTGAGTGTTAGCAGGTCATTTGACCATATGGGGAAAGTGTATGGGTGGGAGGCTACTTAGCTTCCCAGCTAAGACTGAAGCTGCTCACAAGCATGCTTTTTTTTTCTCTCTGGATAACAATCAGGAGCCCAGCTGATTTATTTTTCCCTTTCCTACCTTCAGCCTGAGGCCAACTATAGTGTTTCCCCGGCTGAGATCAGCTAACTCAGCACAGATGACAGATTGAACAGGGACCTCTCACTCTCTCCTTCTCCATGGATCAGAAACCATGCCCCGCGATGCGTTTAACCACTGAGCCTCTTTCTCTTCGCATTGGTGGCCGATGCATTGCCTTTGGACATCAGTCCTGTGAACCCCTTGCTCGAAGCGAACAAATTAGCAGATGTTTATAAAAACTGTGCTAAATCATTAACTGGATCTTTAGTCCAAGGCTGTGAATTATTATTGCTGGTGTTTAGGATGGAACGAGTCCACACTAAATATATGGCTGACAAGCTTTATGTTAGTGGGCTCTGTTTTAAGATTTCATTGGAAAGGATTTCTTTGTGTAGAACAAGAATTTCTGCAGAAAAACACCTAATTCAGGGTCTCTTTGAATTGGCATTGAGAATGTTGTCTATTGATGATAATTTGGGGCTTAATTGTAGCTGTTTGTTACTGTGGCTCTCATTGTACAATATCGGTCCACACCATCCTTTCCTTATTCCAAAAAACAGATTTAATAATGGGAGATATTGTCCTTGAAGTCATTTGTTTTGTCACATCCCAGTGCAAAACAAGCCCGGTCAGCGTTTTTGGGGCTCAGCTGGGTGTCTGACACATGTGCAAACCCACCACTATGCTTAAGAGTATCCAAACCAAGCTGAGAATTCCAGGCTTCCCACTTACACATGGAAATCCCAGTGATAGATTATTGGAATGGAATGCGTACTCCAAAGGCATCTTTTTAATCCCAAGGAAAATCATGCCGAAGTAAAACAACAACAAAAGGATCAGCACGTAAGACTTGTTAAGTCACCCCACCAGTGCCTAATAACTTTAGAGTTATCCCCGTAATTAAAGTGATTTACTGTTGTTTTGCACCTTCCTGCCTCGTCATCCAAACGGAAATCTCACAGCACAGACCATTCCGTGTCCTGCCTCCTGCAGGCCATCATACTGCTTTGCAAACGAGGATCTCCGCCTACACAGAGGAAACTTAAAAGTAAAACTGCTACAAGCAGCGAATACCTGACAGGATTGGGAAAGTAATGCGGCCATTATTAAATTTACAAGGCAGATTTATGTAATTTATGAGGAAATTATGAGGCAATTTCACTTTGTGTCACCGATTAATGACCCGTTTCTACTCACTTATACAATACAATATGATTTAGATTGATAGAGTGCCTTTCGTGGTGGGTGGGGGGAGGTGTGGTGGGGAGGGGAGTGATAACAGCATCTCGGTACTTTTACAAGATTGTCCAAGGTGTTTGGTGTACTATTGGTTGGCAAAGTACCCAAGCTAATTCAAATTTATCTAGCAAAAGTTTTTTTCACAAGTGTTGCTTCCGAATCATTATTCTGCTGGTCATGTTATGTAGAGGTTTGGGATAGTCGGTCTCAAAACTGCTGGCAATTGAAAGGGGTTAATTTCACTCAGTGTTTCTTGTAAGGACCCACGCAGTTGAGGAGGAAAAAATGGAGTGGGTTGCCATTTTGTCCTGACGAGTATTTTGGGGCTTCTTCTAGAATGAGCTGAGCGATGTTATCGATCTAAAGGAACCAGACAGCACCACATGGGAGGAACGTCGGCAACTAAGGCTGGCTGCCGAAGAGGCCAAGTTCGATTCCGATCATTATCTGTAAGTGCACTCGATGATGGGGATCTTCTATTTTATTGCAACACTGGCTTGCGTAAGTACATGTAGGTATTCATGTAGGGCAGGGTGGTCCAACTGGCGGCCCGCGGGCCGCATCTGGCCTGGGCGATGAGTTCCTTCGGTCTACAAACTATTTCCAGCTTTGTTATCGAACGATCCAATACTTCTACTTGTTCCACTTTCATAAATTTGTGTAGTGCCTTCCATGTCAGGAGGACGACCCAAGGCACTGGACGGTCAGTGTCTTGGACCCGAGCTGGAAGTTGGGATTGGGGAGGGTGGAGGGCAGGGGGGGGACGTAGGGTGATCAAAAGCACGGTTGAAGAGGAGGGTCTTGAGATGGGTATTGAAGGAGGCAAAGGATGGGGCAAGGTGGAGAGACTGACGGATGGAGTTCCAGAGGTTGGGGGAGAGTGGCAGAAGGCCTGCCCGCCAATGGTGGGGTGGGAGAGGCGGGCGACCTGAAGACGTGAAGATGATCTGCAGCCTATAGAGGGAGGAGTTGGGGAGGCCGACAAGCTAGGAGTTTGCAGAGTCAAGCCTCGATGTTATGAATGCATGTATGAGGGTTTCCTTCGGCCTGCAGTGTGAGACAGTGTCGGAGTCGGGCGATGTTGTGGAGGTGGAGGAAGGCAGAGTGGGTCATGGCACGGATGTGGGGTAGAAAGGATAGTTGAGGATCAAACAAGACCCCAAGGTTCCGGACTGGCTTAGTAAGGTGGAGTGAGCAACCATGGATGGTGATGGTGTCAGCGCCTGAGGTGTGAAGCTGCTGAAAGGAGTCAATCAGGAGGACCTCAGTCTTGTTGACGTTCAACTGAGGAAAGTTTTCTCTCATCCAGGACTTGATGTCTGACAGACATTCTGTCAGGACAGCAGTGGGTCCTGGAGTCAAAGGTGGAGGCAGAGAGGTAGAGTTGGGTATCATCCGCATACATGTGGAAGTTGACTCCATGTCTGTGGATGATGTCATCAAGGGGGAGCATATAGATGTTGAAGGGGAGGGGACCAAGGACAGAGCCCTGAGGAACACCGCACAAGGTGGTACCGGGTCTAGAGGAGAAACCGTTTGTGGAAATGAAGTGGAGGTGGTGTGAGAGGTACGATCTGAACCAGTCAAGGACAGAACCATGAAGGTTGAGGTGAGAGGAGACACAAGCAACACGCAGGCTCCAGAGATGGTCACTGGGGTAACATTGTTTATGCGTCCTGCGAATGTTTTCCAAATCCGATATACAGCCCTCAGCTGCCAAAAGGTTGGACCACTCTGAGGGACATTACAGTGACAGTGCTGGACACCGAGCAATGAGGGGCAGGAGAGAGCAGAAGATGCCCGTAGGTATGGTCAAAGAGATAGGTATTGCAGTACTTTAGTATCGAGGCCAAGATATTTGCCCACGAAACACACAGCCACTAACCCTTCACAGTAAATCCAGATGGTGGGGTGGATGATACATTGGGACTCAGGGGATGTAGAAAAATTGATCCATCATTGAAGTGAAAGTTTGAACGCAGATTTTTTTCCCTCTCTTTTTCTCTCTTTTATGCTCTCTTAAGCAAAATCAAATCCGATCCAAATTGTTGGAATGCTGATCACTCAAGCTAATTGAATAGTTTGATTTTAAAGGGGAACTGGTGGGGGGTTAAAGGAAGTCTCACAGTCTGTTAATGCCTTGGTTTATTTCAATAGTTGTAAATGGAGTCAGTTTCATGTGTTTCTAATTGGTATAAAATTACAGAGCTCTGCAGTGCAAGCCCTTTATATTTTAAACTCCCTTTGAAATAATAGTCACTTTCCTTTTGCATAAAAAAATTAAATTTACCCTTTCAAGTCTGCGACGTACACAGGCTCATATATCAAATGAACACGGATCTCACATAAGCACAAACTACAAACGTAAGGATACAGTTCTCGGCTTATTGTTGGAGACGGTTTTTAATATTGATAACGTTATGAAGCACTTTGTCTTTTAATTGATAAATGCACTTAAGATGCGACTGGGCTCTTATTAACTTAAAACTCGTAGTTTAGAAGTTGAACACTTCCATTTTTAAAAAAATATTTTATTCTGGAAAAAAAAGGGGTTTATAATTACCAAGTTCTGATTCTGTCTGTCTTAAGGCTCGTGAATGATGGACTGACGTCCAAGTCTGAAAAACTGAGGGGAGTCGTTTTACTTAAGTCAGTCAGAGTACTGGTGATGGCTTGTGCTCACCCAATTATGAGGTTGATGCAATCCTTGCCCTGAGCGTTTTTTTGAGTTACATGCAACTGGATTGTGACTGTAATGAGATATGGCGTGACTGAGAGAGGGTGAATGGAGAGAAAAAAAATAGTATAACTCGTCAGCACAAGTGTAAACGGACTTGACGTTCACCACAACAGGCAGATGAAAATCTCTGTTTTATGTCTCATCCGAAGAATGGCACCTCTTGATAATGCAGTGTTCCCTCCCCTCCCCCAAACCTCCAGCACTACATTCGAGTGTCAGCCTAGACTGTGAGCTCAAAGTCCTGACGTGGGGCTTAAACCTTCTGCCACAGAGCCAAGATAGGTTACCGGCTGAGCCAGGCTGACACCTAATGGAATCTGCCCCCCACTCCCCTCCCCATACATTTATTTTGTTTGTGGCTCTTCAAAGAAATCATGACTCAAAGGTTAATGAAGCGCTCCAGGACGCTCCCCTGAGTGAAGGTCAGTGTATAAATGCGAGTTGTTGATGTTGTTGGTCAGATTGTATGGTTCCTCTCTCCAGGGCTGACCTGTTCGAGGACGACACCATTCAGCACCTGCTGAAATACAAAGCCTGGTGGGCCGATGCTCATCCGGCAAAGCAGACACCAAATCGACCCCAGAATGAACACAAGGACGCTTCTAAACGAGCAAAAGAATTTGGTGAGTAACTGATTGGAATCACTCCAATCCAGCCAACTCGCAGAAAGTGATGTCAGCCATAATTCCTGCACATGCACGCAATGCACACAAAGTGGTGTCAGGAGGCAACCTACCTGACAATCCAGTAGGCAACCATGTTGTTGTGCGGAGAGCTGGGTGCACACCGGAGGTGCACAGCACACCAGTGCTATAAGTGGGATCCGCACTAAACTGGGATGCCTTATAAAGAGGTTACTGTGGAATTATGATCTTTCTCATTAGTTCTGGTCTTTTTTGTTAGTTCTGGAGTTGTTGATTTTTTTTAGCAGAGTTTAGTTTTACAACATCTGCTTGAGTGTTATAATAATCCTTGCATTTGATACAGCGCCTTATCATGTCTTCGAGATGTCTCAAAGCGCTTCACAGAATATACTGTAAAGTGAATTGACTGTAGATTTTATGGGTGAAACAGGGCAGCCAATTGTGCTAAGCAGTGTCCCACAAACAGTTGTGGATTGAGTGACCAAATTATCAATATTATTATTAGTGTGTTATACTTGCTTTTTTAAAAGAAAAAGCTCCTCCAAAAAAAATCTGGTGGCTTTTGTGTTTTGGAACTCGACCCATGCGGAATATGAAGATGTCTGGAGATTCACTCACTGACTTAAGCCTGATTGAGACACTGCGCTTGACAGCTGAGTATGTAACCACATATTTCAAGGTTTATGCACTGAAGAAGTGTCTCTTAAAGTGAGTCCGCAGACATAAACCAGATCCCCAGGGCTCGGTGGCCCTTTCAACTGAAGCACATTACCAAGAGTAAATATTTACACTCTATTACAACGCAGAGACCGCTCCGACGGCATCAAAGTCCTTTATAGTTAGCGCTCGCTGGGATAAGTCTAAACTGATTTGCTCTGAAAGACTGAATCTGCAGGATTCGCTCGGATGAAGAGGGTCAGCCAGATCCGCCTAACCTGATTTAACTGGAAGTATAATCTGCTTCTGGAGTGGAGTTCCCACGTGCACGAAGGAAGGGTTCCCCCACTTGTGATGTTTTGAACAGGGTTTCAGGGTTGTGTGTGTGCCCCACCCTACCTGGGCATCCTCCACAAACCCTACCGAGCCAGCCGCTCCCTTCACTGACATAAGAGGTGAGAGTGCCACCAATTGAGCCAAGGCTGACACCTGTTGAGGTTAGCTGATGGTTAGAGCACTCATCTTTGAAGCATGACGACCCAGGTTCGATTCGCGGACAGGGTGAAACTTTAGGCAAATTTCCCTACTCCACACGTCTCCCTAGCAGTAAGTAGGAACCCGGTTGTTAGTTGATTGGCGGATTGCTTTCCAGAGAGCAATATTTCCTCCCAAAAAAAGAAAAAAAAATTACATTTGGTCACTCAATCCACAACTGTTTGTGGGACACTGCTGTGAGCAATTGGCTGCCGCGTTTCACCCATAAAATATACAGTCAATCCACTTTACAGTATATTCTGTGAAGCACTTGGAGACGTCTCAACGTCATGATAAGGCACTTTATCAAATGCAAGGATTATTATTATGATTTTATGTCTTTGCCTTCTAATTCAGTTTCTTGCTTTCACTTTGGCTCGTCTCAAACTCTAACCGTTCCTCTGACATCCCACCATGGTGCCTGGTTATTATTTTGTCGTTTCTTCAGAGGTTGTGGGTAATGGGACTCACAGAATCATTCAAAGTCACTGGTGTTGGGCCACCGGGCTTCCTAAATGATATCTCTGTGATGGCTCTCTGGCTTCGTGTTCCGAGAAACATTTAAGTTGAATTAAATTTAACTTGTCTCAAATTAAAGGTCATAATTTAATGACCGTGCACGGTTCTCAATCTCCGTGTGTTCAGCAAGTCAACGAAGGTTAATGTGCGAAGGACCTTCCAATGCACAGACAAGCTGTCAGTACAGGGCTGGAATGATTGCTCAATTTCAGCTCTTATTTTTTTTTCCAGTTCATTGACCACAAACTAGCTGAATGACAGCTGACGTAGCTAATAGGTTTGTGGCAGGATTAATGTGGGGCGCGGGAGCTAGTTTCTGCACAGCCTGCCAGCGTTAATGGGATTGTGTATCGTTCCTCACTTTTAACGTCCTCACGTTAACGCAAGCAAGAGTAAAAAAAATCCCTGCGGTTTAAGGTCCGCCTGCTGAAAGGTCTAAATTGAGACAGGCAGCTTCTATGTAGGTTAGAGTTACATAGAATTGCAAGGCAGGGAAACAGGACATTCCGCCCAACCAGTCTGTACAGTGTTTATACAACACATAATAAAAAAAATGAAAATAATACTAATTTAGCCACTCAATCCACGACTGTTTCTGGGACACTGCCATGCGCAATTGGCTGCCGCGTTGTGCCCCTGAAATATATAGTCAATTCACTTTACAGAATAGTCTGCGAAACGCTTTGAGACGTCTCAACGATGTGATAAGGAGCTATATCAAATGCAAGGATTATTATTATTATTATTATTTATATTCTCGTCAAACTTGTTTTTAGTTCAATCTTCAGAGCTCCTGGAAGATATCCGAATGCTGTCATGATGGCACTCTGGATAATTACCAAAAACATTTTAAATTTGTCAAAATGAAATGGTGGGACTTCAGATTAATGGGATTTATGTGAATTAAACTGGAAAAACTATCTTCCCACAATGATGAATTCTTGTGAGGTTTTAACCCCCTTTCTTTTAATAACAATTCAGTATGTTGACTGTGGCCAAATCACGAGTTAAAACAAATTAAATAATGATTTTTAAATTGGAAATACCTTCAGCAGACCGCCCCCGGATCGGCTGTCAGTCGTATCTAATATCTGAAGAGTCACGTCTAATATCCAAACCGGTTGGAAGCATCACGGTTTCATTAAAAATTGCAGATGCCTATTAGCACAAATTAAGGAGGCAGCCAACTCCAAAATGAACAGCAATTATGAGAGTTTCCCCTGATGGCTCAGTTAGAAAATACACCGTCCAGTGCACAGCTGAGCCATGCAGATCAGGAATTTTCGACGTTCAATCCCCAGCCTCCGATAAATTAGAAGAAATCAGATGGGGCAGCTCCAGTGGGTGTTATAACTTGTCTCAGTGGCCCTGAGCTCAGGAGGGGGAGGGAGAGGGAGAGAGGGGAGTGAAGAATAAAACAATTCAGTTGCTTCTGATTGTTACCAAAAACCCATTTATGAATTGTGCCCAATGGACCGTTTTACAGAACTAATAGCTTCACAACCTATTATATTGTTTTGTTTCCACAAATGCACAGTCAATCCAATATATTCTGCGAAGTGCTTTGAGATGTCTCAACAACGGGATAAGGCTCTATATCAAATAACAATAATAATTTTTGCATTTGGTACAGCGCCTTATCACGTCTTCGAGACGTCTCAAAAGCGCTTCACAGAATATACTGTAAAACGAATTGACTGTATATTTTGTGGGCGAAATGCAAGGATTATTATTGACGTTTCATAATTGTTTTGTTTTAATTAACGCAGAGGTGAGGCTTCATGTCTGTTTGAATGGGAAATATAAAAGATCAGTGTAAGATATATATTTATATCTTTTAATAAAGTATTCCTTTTTAATGAAATCTAATATGACTTACTCCGATAGTGCAGGAAAAATGCAATGTAATTTTTTAACATGAAAAATCACCAAATTGGGTTTTATTTGAATAGTGGTTTACAAGGAAGGCTTCCTCAAGCGAGTAATAAATTAAAAGCCTCCCTGAGGGTTATTGCAACAAACCTGTGTCTAAGATGCCATATTACAATAATAATCCTTGCATTTGATATAGAGCCTTAGAGACAAAATGTCTCAAATTGCTTCACAGAGTCTGTTGTAAAGTGTAGTGCCTGCGTAGTTGTAGGAAGAAACACCCTTCTCTTTTTGAGTAGAGCAGGGGATCTTTAACATCCACCTGAGCAAGCAGACGGGATCTCCGTTTAACTTCTGATCCTCTGACAATGCAGAGATGCTGCTGGCAATGCATTGGCTTTTTGAAAAGGCGCGACAACAAATGCAAGGATTATTATTGTTGTAGTGTTTCGTAGATGGCAGAGCTCGATAGGGGAGCTAATTGTTGTTGGCTTGTGACCACAACTGCTGAGCTTGTCTGCGTGGGTCAGTCGAATGGTTTAGCACTCTGAGGCCTGCGGAGAACCTCCCAGTGTCCACTGCTTACATGCTCAGTATCCCAGCCAGCGAGAGTGTTGGCAGCTATTCACTTGGTTGTCGGGACTAATCACATCCTCGCTTGATGTCCGCTGATGTGCTTTGCAGCACAAGTTACCAGATTACAATAAGGAATAAGGACACAGCGTAGGGGCTGTCTTCACTGTCCTTAGATTTAGATTTGTCTTTCCGTAACTCAGCATTTTTTACCAATCATCATCTATATCTATTGGTAACCACACACAAGTTTCTTTTTTAAAAAAATCAAACTACTTTAAAGGCATTCTTTAAAGGCATCCTGCTGTGCGCAATTGGCTGCCGCATTTCCCCCACAAATATAGTCAATTGACTGTACAGTATCCTCTGCGAAGCGCTTTGAGATGTCTAGAAGGCATGAAAAGCACTATATCAAATGCAATGATTATTATTATTCTCCCACAAAATATACAGCCAATTCACTTTACAGTGTATTCTGTGAAGCGCTTTGAGGTGTCTCAAAGACGTGATAAGGCACTATATCAAATGCAAGGATTATTATTATATTCATTTCTGTGATTTCTTTTTGCCCTTTCAGTCGTTTTCTATGAAGATGAAAAGCAACAGCTGAGAAAGTTCCCCAACAAAGATTATCTGTTAGAAAAGAAGTCTTGCAGTCAAGCTTACCTCAGCCTGGTCGACATAATCCTTGCTTACACTTACGAAGTCCGCTGTACAGAAGGGGAGATCAATGTAAGTTTTCTTTTTAGCCGTGGAGTTGAGTAACTGGCAGCTTGTAAGACGTGATGATCCTCTGGCTTGCTAATCTTGCCGCTGCTGAAAAGTGGAACGTTCTTCAGCTTTTGACACCCGAGTTCATGGATCAGCAAATTCTAGGTCAAGCGTAGCAGCAGCCTGGTATGTAACATTGCCTGAGGGACCCAGCGCTCTTTTGGAAACTGCCCCATTTGTACTGTGAGCCAGATTGCACTCACAGGAACCACTGAGACAAAGCTTCTCCTCCTATACGGTTGCTTTCATGGTGAGATCCTCGGCTTCTTACCCCTGCTCCCTCGCCTTCCTTATTGATTGAAGGAGGGCGGTACGGAGGGAACATTTGACCCAGGGAACAATCGGAACGCGCAGCTGGACTTTGTGCAAGGGTTGAATTGCTGACTGAACAGTGAGAAAAGATAACTTTTGGTGGCAGTACTCAGTCTCCGAGAGTGTTTACAGTACTTTGGATCTCTGAAATGCATGTTAAAAAGGGTAAGAATTTATCCTTATTGTCTTGACTAACGGATGTTCAGTCCAGCAGTTAAAAGCTCTGTTATTTCAACGCAGCAGCCATGAAGTGGGCAGAGAGTAGATCTGCCTGGAGTGTCACAGGCTTTACCTTTTATAATATAAATAAATGGGACGAAGATGTTTTTCATATGAAGTACCTGATGAATTTTTACTTCGATTGTATTTTCCAGACCGAATCTCCGTGGAACATTCGAAAACTGAGTTCCACTCTTTGTTGGCTCGGAGTAAGTACCATGTCTTTTTTTTAATGCTACTCACTTTATTAATAATAATCATCTTTGCATTTGTGGATTCCTGTAGTAGCTCAGTGATTAGAGCACTCGCCTCGCAAGCGAGAGACCTGGATTCGATTCCCAGCAAGGTGAAACGTTGGTTAAGCTTCTTTACCGCACACACCTGTTTACTAGCAGTAAGTAGTAACCCGGTTAACTAGTCGATTGGCAGATTACTTTTTCGAGGGTAATAATTCCTTCGAAAAAAATAAATAAATTGATCACTCAATCCACAACTGTTTGCAGGACATTGTTGTGCGCAATTGGCTGCCGCATTTTGCCCACAAAATATGCAGTCAATATATCAATTCATTTTACAGTACATTCCGTGAAGCGCTTTGAGACTCCTCAAAGATGTGATAAGGCGCTACACCAATTGCAAGGATTATTATTATTATTATAGAGTGCTTATCACATTGTTGAGACTTCTCAAAGCGCTTCACAGAATATAGTGTAAAGTGAATTAATTGACTGTATATTTTATGGGCAAAACGTGGCAGCCATTTGTGCACAGCAGTGTCCCACATACGGTCGTGGATTGAGTGACCAAATTATTATTATTAAATCTTTTTGACTAATTTTATTCCAGCTTTTATTTAACATGGACTTATTCCAGCTTTACACATCGACTTGTGTAAATAACCCATTCCAATAAGTTCGCTATAGCTACAACCCTAATCAAATTAAATGCTGTTGCCACGTCAGAAACTGAGCTACAACTAGTAAGGACATTGTTAATTGCTCCATCAGAGGACAACCGTATTGGAGAATGGTGCTGATTTGGTGGGATTTATTGATTGACTTGAGCAATGAGTATTCATTCCCTCCTTCGTTGTTGGGATGAGAGTCGATTGTATTTCATTGCTGAATATTTAGAATGGCTCAAATACGATGTAATGGAGCGTGCAGCTCCACTCCCCCAACACCCCCCCCCCCCTCCCCGCCGCCCAGTATCTCAGTTCCTTAGGGATGAGCCTAAATTGTGTGTTTAGTCAGGAATTCAGCAGGACTGATCTCAGCAATTACAGTACAATACAAGTTTACATTTATATAGCCCCTTTTCACATCGGGAGGACATCCCAAGACATCTAATCCTGACTGGTCACACGAGCTGGGAGTGGGAGCTGAGTGGGGTGAGGGTAGGGAAAGATCGCCAAAAGCGCAGTCAAAGAGATATGAATTTGGAGAGAAGAGGCAGGAAATGTTGCTGCCTTGCTGAGACTCCTTCTTTAATGCTACTTTGCTAGTGAAGCTGAGTAATTGCAGGCGAGGGTATAAATGACCCTAGAGTAATCTGCAGCTTACACGAGATTCTGTTTTTTTTGTAGTCGCACTTGGAGTGATTGTAAATCAGCACAGACAAATTTGCATCTCTCTCCTGCTTTTTTTTCTTGCAGACTTTTTTCATTACAAAGTTTAGAATTTTATTTTGCTTTCAATAAACTGAAATAAGGAGGAAAGAATGTTACAATAATAATAATCCTTTGAGACGACTCAAAACTCTTCACAGAATATACTGTAAAATGGATCGACTGTGTATTTTGTGGGCGAAAGGCGGCAGCCAATTGCGCACAGCAGTGTCGCGCAAACAGTCGGGCATTGAGCAACCACAATTTTTGGAGGAATTATTAGCCCCGGAAACCAATGTTCTACTGAGTCACAATTATAATAGTTGAATTATTATTATTCAACAGAATTCTCAGCTTGACATTTCCCCCCACCCACCCCATTTGTGATGTGAAGGAAGACTAATTGATGGTTTTCTTTTGTTTGACATTGCAGACTTATCATTCTCTTCAGGAAATGCTCGTATCCTTCAGTAGAAGAGTCCTGTGTTATCCACTCTACAGACATTTCCAGTTGGCCCTAAAAGCCATTGACGATGCAGCGTTGATATTTCAATTAGGTGAGAAACCTGTTAAAAGGAGCCAAGAATTTATATCCTTAACTGACTAACGGGTATTCAGAGCAGTAGTTAAAAGCTCTTATTAGTTCAACACATTAAACTTTGCACTGTCGGGCGGACATGTGGAAATTAATTGCCGTCTTCGTAAGATCAGGGGGAGGGCAAACTTCCGAAATAACGATATTCATTTTGGGTTATTTTTCTTACAATGGGGAAAGGCGGGCTGATCTGTTACATTTTTAAGAAAGGGTGCAAAGGGGGAGTTGAAGGTCGATGATAACGCACAACAGGAATAAAAGAAATAGCTTGAAATGGGTTTGAATGGGACGTCCTCCCGACGTGAAAGGCTCTCAATAAATGGAAGCTTGTTGTTGTTGTTGTTGAATCGATTCTTGCCTCAGAGTCAGAAGGTTGCGAGTCCAAGCCCACTTTGAGCTTATAGTCTACACTGACCATCCATTGTACTGCTGGAGGAGCGCTGCGTTATGGCCTACAATCTCCCAGACGAAAATTGGTCATTCACTCCTTGGCTGTTTGTGGGCATTGCTATCAGCCTAAAATACATAATAAGTTTGCCAACACTTAACAATAAATCCTGTGAAGCGCTTTGAGATGTTTCAATGGCATGATAAGACGTGGTAGCACTCTTGCCTCTGAGTCAGAAGGTTGCGGATTCAAGAGTTCAAGTGGGTGTTAAATGGGCATAATTTTTGAAAAGAGAAATTGGTTCTTTCTTTTCCGGTCCTCTGGCTGACAATCCTAAACATGAAGTGGTTATTGATATCCTGGCTGTTTGTAGGACCTTGTGTAGAACGGTTGCTTTGTTTGCCCAACAAAATCCAGTTACCGTGTGTTAAAATAATTATTGCTAGATTATTTGTGACTTCTTTTATAATAGTGATAATAATCCTTGCATTATTACGTTGTTGAAATGCCTCAAAGCGCTTCACAGAATATACTGTAAAGTAGATTGACTGTATTTTGCAGACGACGCAGCAATTAAATAATTAATTAATTGTGGTTTACAAAAAGCACTTTAAAAATAGTAGTTCTTTCTTTCTATTGAGTTGGTAACTCTGATAGTGTGTTTGACTAAACCATTTTAAGCAAAACTGAATTCATTCCACAATAACTTGCATTTATATAGCACCCCTCACGCAGCGCAGGGTCCCAGAGCGCTTAGTTCACCTGCGATTTGTGTAAGAAGTACAGTATATGGTTGTAATATATACAACAAAATTATATTTGTGTAGCATCTTTCACGTTGGGAGGACGTCACAAGGCGCTGGACAAGGCGGAGGGACTGCAGGATGGAGTTCCAGAGAGTGAGGGCTGAGTGGCAGAAGGCCCGCCCACCAATGGTGGGGTAGGCGAGGTGGGGACGTGAAGCAGGCCGGAGCCCGCTAAGCGCGCAGGATGGTAGGGGGCTAGGAGGTCACAGGGAAGGGGGGAGAAAGTCCATGGGGGACTTTGAAGATGAGGACCAGGATCTTGAACTGTATCCTCTGTGTGATGGGAAGCCAGTGGAGTCGGGTGAGGATGGGGGTGATAAGGTCACGGAGCCTGGTGCGGGAGAGGACACGGACTGCAGAGTTCTGGGTGATCTGCAGCCTATAGAGGGAGGAGTTGGGGAAGCCGACAGGCTAGGATTTTGCATAGTCAAGCCTCGATGTTATGAATGTGCGTATGAGGGTTTCAGCGGCCTGCAGTGTGAGACAGTGTCGGAGCCGGGCAATGTTGTGGAGGTGGGGGAAAGCAGAGCGGGTCATGGCATGGATGTGGGGTAGAAAGGATAGTTGAGGGTTAAACAAGACCCCAAGGTTCCGGACTGGCTTAGTAAGGTGGAATGAGCAACCATGGATGGTGATGCTGTCAGCGCCTGAGGTGTGAAGGCGCTTATGGGAGCCAATCAGGAGAGCCTTGGTCTTGGAGACGTTCAACTAAAGAAGGTTTTCTCTCATCCAGCACTTGATGTCTGACAGACATTCCGTCAGGTCAGCAGTGGGTCCTGGAGTTATGGGTGGAGGCAGAGAGGTAAGGTTGGGTGTCATCCGCATACATGTGGAAGTTGACTCCTTGTCCGTGGATGATGTCACCAAGAGGGAGCATATAGATGTTGAAGAGGAGGGGACCTGAGGAACACTGCACTAGACGGTGCGGGGGCTAGAGGAGAAGCTATTTATGGAGATGAAGTTGAGGCAGTGTGAGAGGTACGATCTGAACCATTGAAAGACACAGAACCGTGAAGGTTGAGGTGAGAGGAGAGGCGGTGGATGAGGATAGAATTGTCGACGGTGTCAAAAGCAGCAGAGAGGTCAAGGAGGATGAGGAGGCAGAGGAGCCCTGATCGTAGATGGACAGAATGTCATTTACCACTTTGACCAGAGCTGCACAGAAACCCGATTGGAGGGGTTCATGAAGGGAATGGCAGGAGAAGAAGGAGTGAAGCTGGAAGGCAACGAACAACATTCCAGGACCTTGAAGAGGAAAGGGAGATTGGAGATGAGGCATTAGTTTGAGAGCAGGAATGGGTCCAGGGAAGGTTTTTTTAAGGATAGGAGTGATGACAGCCATTTTTAAAGGGGTAGGAACGATACAAGTGGACAAGGGGAGGTTTATGGTGTCTGAATAGAGGGGCAAGGAGGTGGAATTGGGAGGTAAGGAGAAGGGTAGGGATGGGGTTGAGGGAACAGGTGATCGGTTTCAAGCAGGTTATAGTGGTGATGAGAAAGGAGTGGGAGACAGGTTCGAAGGTCGGAGGGAGTGATGGGTAGGGGCCGGGGTGAGAGGGGGACATGGGGAGGGTTAGTGGACAGAAGGGCAGAGGCAGCTGGATTTGAGGATTTGAGGAAGTCCAGCCTCGCCTCGCAGTTGGGATTGGAGGTGTGGATGGGCAAGGCGTGAGAGTGTGGGCGGAGGAGCCTGTTGGTGATGGAGAAGAGGAGCTTGGGTTTGTCCTTGGCCTCCAAAATTGTCTTGGAGTAGAATGATAATTTAGCGGAGGCGAGGGCGGAACGGTTAGATTTGATAAGGTCCAGCCAGATCTGCCGATGAACCATTAGGTTCGATTTAAGCCAAGTGCGTTCAGCGGCACGCAACTGTGCTTTAAGGAAGCAGAGGTGACTGGTGTACCATGGTGATTTATGTGAGTAGGAGACAGTTTGGGAAGTGAGTTGCAGAGAAGCACCGTTTGAATTCCAAGACCCTGTGTTGGCAGAGCGCCCACAAAATATACAATCAGTTCGCTTCACAATATATTCTGTCAAGCGCTTTTAGACGTCTCAAAGATGTGATCAGGTGCTATATCAAATGTAAGGATTATTATTAATCGATTAATCAATTCTTTCAGAAGTTCAGCTTTATGATGTAAAGATGAAAGGCTGAGTTCACTTCAGATCTTTTATGTATACATTGCTGTATAATAAAGCAGCAATGTATACATAAACTTTATTTTTAAACAAAATAAAGCTGCTTAATGAAACAATTAATGTAACGACTATATGTGTAGAAAGCGTCGTGTTTCGTTTTGGCCGTGCTTTCAGTACAAAGTCTCAAGGATGTGGTTAGAGATTTGCTTCTTGCATACTCTACTTGGGAATATCTTTCTGACAGATTTTCTGGAGGAAATCATGTCCATATGTTAATTCCTTCCTCTTGGTGTTTGAAAACGTGTTTGTTTTCAAAGGGCTTCGAAAATGGAATCCTAGAAATGAGACCCAGACACCATTCCACGTCAAGGCAGTGACAGCTTCTCCACTGGAGCTCCGATCCCAATTCTGTGCTCCCTTTTCACTCCCTCTTGTGCTGTTCCTTTTCAAACCAATTGTCAAGTAAAATAATAAGTAAATAATAATACTTTTTTTGATACGCGCGTTTCACGCCTGGAGGACATCTCACCTCACTCCTGAAGAATTTCCTCTTCAACCATGCCTAAAGTCACCTTCTCTTTCTCCTTGGCTCAACGCCAAGCTCTTTAGCGTTCCAAATCCCTACCCCCATGGGAAAGGTGTTATATTAATGCAAGTTGTTGTCTCAAGGCATTTCACAAGATTTACTGTAATAGTGCAGTGACTCAATCTTCAATACCAATGACCATTACTTTTTAATGGGAAGAGAATTAGTGTTCAAATTTTAAACGTATTCAGCAATCAGGAATTCTTCTGGACCTGTTTACCACATGCACTCGTCTCTCACCTGTACCTAATGTATAATTGTAGCTAGTAAAATAGAGTTTGACACTTTATCATTGCTTTCCAACTGTCTTGCATCGGTGCTGTTTTATTAAAGAGAAAAGTGGCTGTCAAGACCTTAGCCCACCCATTCCCGGATTGATCTATTCTTTCTGTACTTTTTGTCTCTATTCACCCCCCCCCCCCCCCCGCCCTTCCTCCTTTACTCAAAGTCAGGAGTATCTCAAAAATCCACCGTTCATCATTTGTGTGCACTTATGTAATACATCAATTGACGAGTTCAGTTGAGTGTGCCTAAACCAAGCTAAATTGCCCAGAAAACCTAATCTTCCCCTCATAAAGTGCACCCTGGCTTTTCATTAATTATGTTCATTGCAGAACTATCCCCGAATTGTCACTTACAATTCCGTCAAGTGGAGTTTTTTTTTTACACTTCCTGATGACAAGCTAACCGCGAGAAATTCCCAAGATTGTGCCTTTGCCTTTATTAAAAATTGAAAAGCAGATTAACTACTTTCCATGTCCCTCGGGGGAGCCAGTGACTGAAGCTTTCTGCCGAATTTCCCCAAGTTCCTCATTTACTTGAGCCCAGCGACCTGACAGGAGGGATAAGTATCACAGACAATGACACTCGTGCTGATAGCTATTATATAGGAGAGTGGCTGCGATAATACAGACTTTCCACCCAAAAAATCAACTAGGCACACTTAGCTAAAGCTAATTAGTATTGACAGACAGAGACCTGAGTTCGATTCCCGGCAGGTCAGGGCGAAACCTTGGCCAAGTTTCCTTACTCCACACACCTGATAATAATCCTTCAAGAAAAAAACCAATAATAATTTGGTCACTTCAATCCACGACTGTTTGTGGGACACTGCTGTGCGCAACTTGGCTGCCGCATTTCGCCCACAAATATACAGTCTTTATAGTATATTCTGTGAAGCGCTTTGAGATGTCTCAAAGACGTGATGATAAGGCGCTATATCAAATGCAAGGAAGGAAGGATAGCCAAGTGCAAGCGAGGGATATTATGGGGGTGGGGGAGGAGGTTCTATGTTGGAAATATTTTGCAATAGAATGACTACTTTTTTAAAAAAAAACTAGAATTAATTAAAGAGAAGCTGCATGTCAATTGGGTTTTGCACACCAGCTGAATATAATGCTGCCGGCTAGAGATGTGTAGAGTGAATGTGCCAATGATCGATCTCTCCCTCTCTTTCTCTCTCGTGTCTGTCTGTTTCTTTAGTGTTTAATTGTCAAAAAACAAAGTAACAAAGCAAAACAATTTTTATTAAACAACAACACGTGGCAAATTGTTTCCTTGAGGCCATCAAATCACATTCGACTACACTTCGCAGGTCATTGGATGTACAGTGGTTATAGCACTCGCCTCGCAAGCGAGAGAACCTGGGTTCGATTCCCGGGCAGGGTGAAATGTTGGGCAAGTATCCTTACTCCACACGCCTCTGTTTACCGAGTAGTAAGTAGGAACCCGGTTGTTAGTCGATTGGCGGATCGCTTTTCCGGGGGGTAATAATTCCTTTGAAAAAAATAATAAATTGGTCAATTCAATCCATGACTGTTTGTCAGACACTGCTATGCGCAATTGGCTGCTGCATTTCGCCCACAAAAATACAGTCAATTCACTTTATTCTGTGAAGTGCTTTGGGCGTCTCGACGTGATGAGGCGCTATATCAAATGCAAGGATTATTATTGTTATTTGTATCTGAAATGAACTTTCAAGTTGTGTGCTTTCTCTGCTAAGTTGAGTCGTCTTTAGGGCAAAATGTAATTTGATGTTGAAGTTTTCATCTGCATATAGCTCCTGTTCACGGTTGTGCAACATCACAACGACGCTGAGGAATCAAAGGTTAATTAACAGTAATAAGAATAAGTCCACAAAATACAGTCAATCCACTTTACAGCATATTCTGTGAAGCGCTTTGAGATGTCTGACGAATGTTGTGATAAGGCGCTATATCAAATGCAAGGATTATTATTATTATTAACTAACGATCTAATGTAATCGTTGTATAATTGCCAATAATCATCAGCCCTACTTTTATGACTATTAAGAGAATTTTAAAATCCCAGCTTGTGTAGTATTTGTTTGTCTTGAGTTTTATTTCCTCCTGCCCCCCCCCCCCCCACCCCCGCTTTAATTAAAACATTCATACATTCGTTCAGAGTCAAAGATTCGCACGTTTGCAACATTTAAGCTGTTTGTTCAAAATTATGAGACTGGCCATGCATTACAGTCAAGTGTTCTGTGAGTGCCCTGGAGTACTTGACTTCTGTCCCAACAACTCATCACATTGGCAGTTTGAAAGCTGTGTTGTCAATTTAACTTTGGAACGTCTTGTTTGCTACAAGGACATTCTTTGCACAAAATCTCATCTAAAAGTCTCAGAGATCGCAGGAGACTTAAGCGGAGATGTAGCTTTTACACTGCGTGTTTGTTGGTGAACACGGAAGACAATTTGCGTATGTTAGTGTCCCACAATCAGCCCTGAAGTGAATGAGCTTTTTTTAACCAGGAGGATTGTTGGCCAGGACACCGAAAAAACTGTCTTCTTTTAGCACAGTTCTTTAATACCCACTTGAACAGGCACAAAAGAGAATTCGGTTTAATGTCTTTTTCCATCCATGCAGAACTCCCCTCAGGCCTGTATCGGAGAGTCAGCTTGAACCCACAAGCTTGTAACTTAGTGATGAGAATGCTTACTTAACAAGCCAGGCTGATACTTAATATGGAGCGCACAGAATTGGTATTCTCGGAATAAACTTTATACTTTCTGGAAGGGATTTGCAAAAGTGCAATTCACAAACGGTTAGTATTGTGATAGGTTTATAATTAGTGCACCAGATTACACTATATCCAGAGTTCTTCCTGAGCGAGTAATGAGCCCAGCTTCTTATCTTCCAAGTCTGAATTATTCTTTATAGATTTGTGGTTTTCCTCCCTTCCCCCAAAGGCATTCAAAGCTAAGATTCGGTGGCTAGAATTGTCATCAAAGCAAGAACGGGAATGCTAGAGAAATTTTGCGGATTGCTTTGATGGCTGCACAACACCTTGCCTGCCGTGGCACTGAAGTGAAGTGTCGGCAAGCAAATTAAATCCCTCCAGTGACCAGATCACAAGCTCAATTTCTAAGCAGGTTCGAAAGCTGCCTCTGTTTTTACATCCCACGGATTGCATAGGCTTGAGCCGTGAACCGAACCCTGTTCTTGTGTATATAAAAATAATAAAAATCCTTGCGTCTGATGTAGCACCTTATCACATCTTCGAAACATCTCAAAGCACTTCACAGGCTATACTGTCAAGTGAATTGACTATACTTTGTGGGTGAAATGCAGCAGCCAATTGTGCACAGCAGCGTCCCACAAACAGTTTTGGATTCAGTGATTAAATTGTTATTATTACATATAGTCCTTTGTAGGTTAACTTTTTAAGTGATTGGCTGGTAATGTTTGTTCTAGATTTTGATCGAAAAGAAATTTAATGATGGGGGGTGGAGAGGGAGGAAGGCGTAGCATGGGTAGAATATTTATTAGGGTTTTTCTGAAATATTTATCCTTTTCTGCTTCTTTAAAACCTAGGTAAGCCTGCGGTACTCAAGTGCCTCCTGGGTATCCACGAGATCTTCAGAGAGAATGACCCTGCGTACATCCTTAATGATCTGTACATAACAGACTACTGCATTTGGATTCAGAGAACCAAGTGAGTCTTGTGCCTGCCCACACCATGGGAAAAGCAAACACGTAATTGCTGGATAGAAACCCACAGCAAATCAATCAGGACTCGAAAGAGTAGAAAAGCTTAACCCTTTGTCAGAATTTAAAAACATTTTGGGGGGTGATGGGGGGGAAGAGAAGGGCCGAGCAATGGACTGGATCTTACAGGATAAGGGAGAGCAGGCGATAATTGTCTGAAGGAGAATGTGACATTAGCAAGAGTTGTTTTTTTAAAAAATGTACAGTCATTAACAGATTGTTTCATCTGCTGCTAACGTTCGGTAAACAACGGCAGGCGAAACAGCAGTAACTGGGTGCGAGATTTCGCCAATAACGGAAGGGGATGGGAAACTGACGAAGAGGCTTGAAGGTGTTCAGACTTGATGTCCAGGCCTGCGAACCAAAAGTTTCCGAAGAAAATAAGATTAGGGGTGGGGGGGTCGGGGACAGAACAGTGGAGGTTCACACTGGGGCTCAGTAATTGTGAATCGGTAGACTCTATAATTGGGAAGTAGGGTGGGATGGGGGTATTCACATAGCGACCAACAGAGAGGTCGGGATTTTACGTTTAAGAACAGAACGGGGGTTGGCTCAGCAAAGCAACCTCAAATATCCACACTCGGTCTCACCTGTCTGGGGGGAAAACACAACTTAAGCAGCAAATGCAGCCCACGAGACGATGGGAAGGTGAGCGAGAACCAGCTATGACATGCAGACAGGGGATTTACAGGCATTGATGTGCGCGAAGAAGGCTTTACCCGAAAGACTTCATTTTCCTTTCGGCTGCTGATTAACCTGCTTGGGGTTTTGTCCCTGATTATAGCAGTGTCGCTTCCCAGTTTTTCCTTTTGTACCTGACGACCGACTGGTGTTCAGCAATAAGGGAACAAGTTGCCACACAGGGACAACTCCGTACCCTGCGGTAAATTTGTGTCGCACCTTGCATAAATCTTTTTCCATTTGCATACCTCCACGGGGTTGCTAGGTGACAGCAGCGAGCCAAATTGAATATGCATAAGGGGGAAGTTAAGTGCCTGCCAAAATATGTCGTCCCACATTTATACCTGCATTGAATCAACCGCAGATCTTTTACAAATGTGCTTTCTCTGGTCAACGGACAAGAGGTTGCAATATTTTTTCTTGTGTTTTTTCCCTTTGAAAAGAATTCCGCCGTTGTCTTCCGTGGCAGTTATATTTGCAGTTACCTTGGGGGAGAGTGGGGGGGTTGCAGGTAGAGAGTGAAAGTAACCTTCGCGAAGTGTGACACGTAAAGTGATCGTGGAGATTGCTCTGTTGCTGTTTGCATCGTATTTTCATGGCCCCTCCTCTCCCCTCCCAAAAAAATGCATGTTGTTTGCATTCTCAGAAAAAGAGATGCGTTTTCTTTTAAGCGGAAACATCACTGTGACTTTTAATGACTTTGAACATGTGGCAGGTGAACCAGTCTGCAGTCTAGGCTTGTCATACATACCCTTGCTGTCTTGTCAGGTTGAAATGCTTTTGTACGCAGGGTGAACACGATGACAGCTTTGCAAAAAAAATACTTCTTATCAAATAACTTGCAAATGACGTGGAGCTTCTTCGGTTCGAGGCAGGGAATGGGTGGAAGTATGATTTTGTCTTGTGAGGGAGAGAAATGAAAGCCTAATGTTTGATGGTTACAACACAGCATCTCGTAACTGTTTCCGAGCAGGAGTCTAGGCTGTGCTAAGAGTGCTAAGGCGACAGGATTGTTTTCACCGCTGTGTGCGTTGGAGCCTTTGTCAATGCTAATAATAGCTTTTAGCACTGCGAGCAACATGGAATTAATTGCACAGAATTTTTACACAGATTTGAATTATATATGATTCGCTCTTCTTTACCGTCACTATTACAATGTGCAGAAGACACGTCTCACAGACAGGGTCGTGGCACCTAAATGCCCTTATATTAATAATAATAATAATAATCCTTGCATTTGAAATAGCGCCTTATCATGTCTTCAAGACGTCTCAAAGCGCTTCACAGAATATACTGAATATATAGAATATAATTGGCAGCCAATTGCGCACAGCAGTGTCCCACAAGCAGTCGTGGATTGAAGTGACCAAACTCCACCCTTTGAAGTCCCTTTGCCTCGTGGATCAGAAAAAGGATGAAATCGGATTTCGACTGTCCAGCCATGTGATGGCAATTGTCAAAGATATTCAGTGCAAATTAGTGAACCACTTTGTGCCTTGGAAGTTTCAACAGCAATGTATATAAAATGCAAACTTATGTATAAGCAGTAAGTAAGAACCTGGTTGTTAATCAATTGGCGGAATGCTTTTCCGGGGGTAATAATCCCTTCAAAATAAAATAATAATAGATACACACACTCTCACACTCAATTGTTTGTGGGACGTTGCTGTGTGCAATTGGCTGCCAAGTTTCGCCCACAAAATACACAGTCAATTCATTTTACAGTATATTCTGTGAAGCGCTTTGAGACGTCTCGAGACGTGATAACGCGCTATATCAAATGTAAGTATATATATTATAAATGAATGTACATGGAATTTAGAAAGGGTTAATGATTCAGGTGTTTGAATTCCCCCCACCATGTACATGTCACTCAGTTCACCGAGAGTACAACTGGCGAAATAAGTCTGTATTGATTCGTGTAAGCTACTCACCAAGTGCATTGCATATAAATCAACAATCTGCACAGCTCCTGGGGGAAACTGTTAATCTCGTCTGCACTAATACGTCTGGTAGTTGCCAATATCTGCTCACCGCTATCTCTTTAGTTCAGTTTGACATAATCATTCATTTAAAGAGGAATGCACTTAACCTTTATATCAAAATGGATTTAAAGAGCGACAATAAATCAGTGCTTAAAAACTGAACGTTGTACAAAACTATTGGAACACTGGCCTTCGTTCGTTATGTAGGCAACATTAAGATCGTAAACGTATTGGGATGTAGTGTTGGGTTTCACAGATCATTTTGTGCTTTGCAATTCTCCTGTAGATTCTACTTTCAGTGTGGCCAACAAAGAGGAAGGTCCTGAGACAGACCTTGAAGGAGGCGAGGGAGGGGGCGAGTTAGAGGGATTCAGAGATGTTCCAGGGGGTAAACCTTGAGCCCTAAATATGACCCACTTTTACACAGATACATAGACATGGAAACACAAGTAAGCTATTCAGCCCCTCAAACCTGTTCTGTCATTTTATAAGATCATGGTTGATCTATACCTCAAGTCCAGTTACCTGCCTTTGCCCCATATCCCTTAATACACTGACCTAACAAATATGTATTTACCTCCATATTTTTGTCAGGGCTCAAATGAAGGCTGGCTCTCTGGAATGACAGATGGGTTGCCACTCAGATCAAACCATTTTCTTGCTTGAGACCATTCCAGTTGGCCTGGTCGTACACAGTGAAAACTTTCATGTTGTGTTCCTTTCAAGGTGCCAACAAAAGGCTGTTTCAATCCAGATTAGATGGAGAGATGGATAAGCGAGTACAAATGCCACCCACGTTTCTTCTAGCAAATTTAGTGCTATTGTGGAGCTCTTTCTCTCTCTTTCTCTCTCTCTTTGGCCATCAACCTTTCACTCTGATGTAAGGGGGAATGCCGACAGCGCGACCCTTCAGACTAACCTAATCTCTGCTGCAAACTGTACGAATTACATGTAACTAGATACAGTTAGTGATGATGTTAGGGGTGGGGGAGGGCCAACATGAGTACCACATCTAATGGTGTGTTTAGTATTCTGAACAGAAGGCTGACTGGTATGCTAATGTGTTGATACTGACATGCCAATCTGCAGTGTGGGCTGCTCACAGGAGGGTGAGAACAGGCAAGGAGACAGAGGATGTGCGTTTTCACCTCTACCTTCCCGATAGCGTGTTGAGTTATTAAAGGGTGTCCCAAACCCGTTTAGTGGTAATCGCAACTGGAGCACTTGGGTTTAGGACTGGAAATGACTAATCCACAAGCCTGCACTCCCATCAGCCTTTTTTTTAAAAGGCTTTGAGACGTTCTCCCAATATGAAAGATGCTATATAAAGCGTAAATTGTTGTGGCCGTCGCACTTTTGTCTCGTGTAAGGCTGTTCCCGAGGTAAGCCGCGGAACATAATTGTTTGGAAATGTATTAGTTATAAAAAAGTAATAATAATAACCCTTTCATTTGAAACAGCGCTTTTCGAATCAGGATGGCATCTCAAAGCGTTCAAACAATTCACGCACAGCAACATCCCACAAACAGCCATGCAGTGAATGACTAATTTTAACAGAGGATTGTTGGCCAGGACACCAGGAGAGAAACTCTTCTCTTTTTGAATAGTGCCATGAGATCTTTAACGTCCACTTGAATAGGCACAGTCGGGACCTTGGTTTAATGTCTCATCTGAAGGACCGTGCCTCAACAATGAAACGCTCCCCAGCAATCTCATTGAAGTGTCAACCTTGACTCTTGAGTTCAAAGCCACTTCTGAATCAGAGGCAAGAGTGCTACTGACTGAGTTGTCAGTTTGGGATGGAACCCGAATGGCATAAAATCCTGATATAGGAGAGTTTAGCAACTGATAACTGCAGTAAATTCTTTCATTTTGATAGCCATCGATTGGCACACTTTGAATCAACTGTAATGCAAGTAACTAATCGTTCAGCTGTTGCCCTTTGGCTTTGAATCATGTCTGTGAAATGGCATTACATCTAGATCACTCTCATGATTTGATTTGTATCTTATTTAAAGTAAACTGATTTTTTGGTTTTCTGGGGAGGAGGAATGGTGATGCCACTGCATTGCACTTTATTTTTTACCTTCAAAGATCTCAAGACAAACTGGAACAATTAGAAATTCTTTTTTTTACCTTTTTGACAATAGCATGTATTCATCAGTTACAGCCTGATGCGATGCATCCAGTGTGTTCTGAAGCACATCAAGCTTGCATGCTAATTTGCTGAGCACAAAGAGCTTTGGAAAACCAAACGAACAGATTGCACCTGACAGCAGAG